AATCTCCTTCCTTCAATCCATTTGCAACAGGGAATTTTTTCCAAGCTATATAATAGCCCCTCTTATTGTTCCTCAACTCGACTGTCCATGACCTTTCGTCTTCTGCGTTTTTGAGGATCATTATTTTCTTATTGATTAACCCATTGAACGTGACAAATTCTTGTGGCACATACTACAAAAAACACTATTCTTAATTACTAAGAAGATTCACAAAGTATCCCCTCCAATAAGGTCCTTAATTTTGCAAGGGTTCTCAATTTGTTTTTGTAGCATAATTCCCGACAAAATGAGCTTCTTTCTGATAAAGATAAAAATTATATACTATATTTTTTCAATTACCAGATATGATTTTTTTAGGTTGTAGGACTTCAATTTGCCGATCAAGTACCGGCGGCCATCTTCTTCAATAGGAGTCAAACCTCCAATATAAAATAAACAAATAATTATGACTTAAATATATGGATCAATTTAAAGACTTGATAAACTAAACACAAAATAAATAAATAAATACGTACAAGAAAAGCTGACGACAGGAGGCTTGTTCTTCTCTTTCTCGATAAGCTCAAACTTGAATGCATCACCTACCTTCAATTCATTCGAAACCAGAAAAGCTCTTAGACCGCATCCAAGATAAAAACATCTCTCATCTTTTTTGATCAGCTGAACTTTCCATGATCGATCTTTATCGTCTACAAGAATCATTTCTCCAGTTTTTAAACGACTTCCTTTCGTAAAGTGAAGAGGAAGTTGCTGGAAGTAATTTGAAACACCATAATATGTAAATGATTAAAATGAACATATACATGGTATTTCGCTTTATGACCATAAGACTTAAGGGTTACATAGAAGTTACAAGAAAGAACTTTTTGAAGCAAGAAGGCTTCAGAGTCGAAATAAAGTATGGGTGATCTTTAAGAGTCGAACTAACTGCCTTCTTTATTGTTGAACCAGTCTCCTTCTTTACTTGAAATTTTTGTTGTTCTTGAGATGCATAATCGTTCCTCTTGTGCTTTTTAAGGTTCTTCGGGCCTTTCACTATGTCATACAAAAAATGGAAGTCAAACTCGAAATATATATTTCCGTATGATATGACAAACCATAAAACAGTAACGATAGAGAGCTTACTATGTGTACGGATCGTATCAGATACTGTGGGAGGCTCTTCTACCTCCATTTCGTCCGATATACTTGGGTACTGTCTTTCACATGTTGATTGGTCAAACACCAAAAAGTCAAACATCATGCCTCCTTTATGTTTGAACACAATGAAATCGAACTCTTGAACTCCATTCTCTCTAACAAACCTCCTCCATCCGTCACCAAAGACCCCGTCGTTAATGTCAACAGACCATTCATGACGCCCACGACTCAGTGTCGCTTTCGAGCATCTACCACAGTTCAGTTGCGTCAAGAAAGAACTTGGAAGCGACTGCAGCAAATGCATATATACAACTCAATGTCTATGTCAGAGGAAATAAGAAGTACGTATAAATGACTGGAAAATGAACAGTGTAAAAGGGAGTGATGAATAAAAATGTTTACGAGGTCAAATTTGAAGCCTGGAGGGATGAACTTGAAGAAATGAGTAAAAGGATCTGCCATGGCTGTTTTGAAGGAGTTATGCCGTGATTGCTGTCACATACACTAATATTTGCATTAAAAAGATGCTATATTCATAATTAACGCAGAAAAGTGTAGTCGTATATGTAGCTTTAAATTTTGACTACAAGTATATCTATATTTTTATTAGGCTAAGGGGAACATCTTGTCACATGACCTTTTTGAGTATCATCTCATTTTTCTTCAATAACACCTAATCTTAACATTTGGTAGGAGTGGTAACATCCTAGCATTTCATTTTTTCTTTTAAATTAAACTAATTTATTTTAGGGATAATGACTTAAAAGGGTAATATATTTTTTGATTTGTATACATTTGGTCACTGAGTTTTTTTTTCGTCCACATTTACCCCTTCAACTTGTTAAACTGTATACATTCAGTCCTTATGACCGGCTACTGCAGGTTACCCGATAAAAATGACTTAATAGGGTAATATATTTTCCACTTTGTACACATTTAGTCCTTAATATTTTTATATACATTTAGTCCTTTTTTTTTTTGCAAAATAAGTCATTTTTTTGTACTCATTCAGCACTTATGATTTTTTTTTTAGTTTTTTCTCACGAAATCTTACGTGGGACATTCATTAATGAGGTGTATGAGACTTTTGATGCTTATATCCATCGCGATCTCGACTACTTGGTTGCTTAGGTCATGTGTTCTGAACGTCATAACTTCTTCATATGATCTCGGATTTTAACGATCTTTATATCCATGCGTTCGTATTTTAGTCTACTACAACTTTCATTTAGATTACTCCCATTAAAAAAAAATATTTTTACTTACGATTTTTATATCCATACGCGGTGACAGATTTAGTATGGTCCCGGTGTTGCACCGACAACACCTGTTTTTTCTGTTCGCAGTGGAAAATTTTTCGCTTTATTTTTTACGTTTATACCTATTTTTCATGTGTCGGCAACACCTACTATGTATTACTGCGTCTTCCCCTGTCCATACGTTTTTTATGAATGCATGTATGTATGTTTTTTTTATAAAAATCGTTAGTAAAAATATATTATATTTTAACGGGAGTAATCTTAATGAAAGTTGTAGTATACTCAAAAAATGAACACGTGGATAAAGATCCTTAAAATCTGATATCGTATGAAGAAGTTACGATGTTCAAATTACAAGACCTAAGCCAAACCACAAGACTTACGCAACCAAGCAGTCGAGATCGCATTGGACATAAGCATCAAC